ACCGTACGACAACCCCAATTACCAGCCAACCTACTCCATCATTGAAGACGGGTACGCATGTGCTGAAGGAAGTGAAGTGTATATTATTTAGGGCACATCAGTTACCTCAACATTTGATCATTTGGCCAAGTTTGATACGAAAACCCACCATTGGATCAATATATAAAAGAAAAGAAGGAAAACCAGAGTTTTACCAAAGCTTTCTCTTTTCTTTGATTCTGAAATGCTGCAGAAACCCTGTGATGTCTCTGCTTCTGTAGCAGCTTTGATTGTAAGACATGGAGTTACAGCAGCTGTGTCGTCTTTGTGCTCGGCTCTGATTAGGTGCCCCGTGGACCCAACTGTGATTATCCATGAGACGGGAGGCTCTGCAGGACTCCACAAACATCTCGGTGTCGTTGACTATGGAGGACGCATCTATCTCCATGTAAATCTTCTGCCCTACGTCGTACTCCAGAGGGTACGAACTGGGATCAATGATGCTTCTGAACTGGTTGTCGGGGTAAAACTCAAACTGGTAGGTGAACGTGCCGAAGCCTTTATCAAACACTTCCACCATCGTCCTGTGTGCTGTGAAGCCCAGTGACACGTTCCCCTTTTTGGGGTACTGACAGTAGAACTCTACTTCCAGGTTATGTTTCCTGGTGATCAGAGCTCCGCTGTCATCCACTGTGGTGATTTCATTCTTGAAAATGAGATGTTCCTCGTCCTCCTGCAGAGTCAAACATCACTCTGTCAGTCCTCGTTCTGATATCTAAACCAACAACAACAGAATAGATACAAAGGAGCTCTGGTTACCTCGATCTGAGTGCCACAAGCATTGAGAGGGATGACGCCGATGATGTGAGTGCTGTTGGAGTATCTCTCCAGGCTGCAGAGGGTGTTGCTGGGCTCACTGAGACGCAGGTGATCCTCACGGAGTCCACGGAGGGACGATTTCTCCACCTCTACTCTCATTTCAGACTCAGTGCAGATCACGTTGGTTTTAACTGAAACAAGTTAAAAACATATAAAATATGTTATGATGTAAAAAAACATACAGACTTAGAATTTACCTTATGATACCCATTCAAAGGACTCTTCATTAAGCTAAACCTAATGCAATCCAACACAACAGATTTAAAGATTTACAATTTCAGTTTATTTTAATGTTGCCAGAAATATGTCAAAATTCTCCAACTCCAATTGTCAAAAAGTTGGAGTGTTAACTATAAAACGAATGCATTGAAGAAAATAGAAAATATGTCACATATTTGAACACACACGGCACCTTATAAAATAAAATGCACACATTTTGGTATCAAAGTTGATTTTAGACTCACTTTCCTCTGTTCCAACTTTCAAGATGACACACCTCATCTCGGACTGATAGACGCCGGACCTGAAGAGACAGAACGATGATAAGTTGACTTAATGTGTGACTTAAAGGATTTTCCTTTTTTCCTTTATTTCTTCAAACACTCTTGAAATTGTAAAGCTTAAGGTCAAATGAGGAGAGCTTCATTTTATAATTTGTTCATAGTGGCATTATTTATTCCAAAAGCACATTTATTTAAACTTCTCACACCTAGACAGAAAATACATTTTTTAAAGCGCTAAAAACAACAAAAAGTCACTTACTGTGAAGTCGGGGTGCCGTGGTTATGAGAGTGGGTATTGCCTGGAAAACTGGTCACTGCTGACCTGAAAAACCCACAAAGAGTCCAATCATGACTTTGCTCTCCCAAACTAATTCTGTGTTTAAAGGAATGAAACCGAGGCTAACCCTGTCGCCGATTCAACAGCAAAGCACACTGGGAAATAATCTCCCAGATCGCTGGAGAACGGCGTCCACCGAAGCACAAACTCATTATGTGTGGTTCTGTGCTTGGTCATATTCATTGGCCCGCTCATGAGGATATCTTGTATTCTGTAAGAAAACAACAGAAGGAAACAAGGATTAGCTCATTAATGCTGAGCTTTCCTGCTGAAGTGATAATAATGCTTCGCTGCCATCAGGCCTCCTTAATCAAGCTTTGTCTCACTCACGCTGCATATGAAGCCTGTGCTTTGATTCTGATCTCCACCTCTTTGTTGACCTCTGCATGAATGCGCTGTCCGTGTGCAGGTGTTGGGTGCACAAACTGGGGCAAGTATAGTCCCTCCTGGCATGAAGGAGCAGGTGGATCCACTGGAGTACAGTTAGAGTAGTAACAAATAAGCATCCGTTACCAAAACAGGAAGAAGCAGCTGTCTGCATAGCAAAAGTTTAAGGCTTTAAACAAACACGTGAAGTGGAGTTTGGTTCTTGGGCTGCTGAAGAATTCAGTGCAAACAGGTAAAACTAATATTAAGTTTTTATGATAAACTGTGGGTCACATGAGTAAATAGGTCTGCTGCAATCAGCTGTTTCTACCACAGTTACCACTGTCTTCATGTGCAGAGTCATGAAAGCAGCAACATGCTGAGAGCAGAGCGGAGTGTGCTGCATCATCACATCATCAAACACTGAGACAACAATGGGCCTTACCAAGGAAAGAGAACTGCAACGGTAGTTTACTGAGGGGAGAAGAGGTCGCCTGCAGCGGTCTGCCCGTAGTCCACCACCATGGTGTGGTAGTGGGGGCGGCTGTAGTTGTAGTAGGAGCGGCTGTAGTTGTAGTTGGCACAGCTGTAGTTGTAGTAGGAGCGGCTGTAGTTGTCCACCACCACCATGGTGCAGCTGTAGTTGACCCCCACCACCACCATGGTGCAGCTGTAGTTGTAGTGGGTGCAGCTGTAGTTGTAGTAGGAGCGGCTGTAGTTGTAGTGGGCGCAGCTGTAGTTGTAGTGGGCGCAGCTGTAGTTGTAGTAGGAGCGGCTGTAGTTGTCCACCACCACCATGGTGCAGCTGTAGTTGACCCCCACCACCACCATGGTGCAGCTGTAGTTGTAGTAGGAGCAGCTGTAGTTGTAGTGGGCGCAGCTGTAGTTGTCCACCACCACCATGATGTGGTAGTGGGGGGGTATGTAGTTGTTGGATACATGGCGGCAGATCGTTTCCTTCTTGCGGACAGAGGAGACCTGGAGGACTGGGATCCATCGGAGTATCTCAGACTGATGTGTCCTTGTGGGAAATCCTCCACCACCAACTCAAATGCATTCACTAACGGGTCAGCATTAGTGTATTGGTAATGTAACGTGCAGGAGTCCTGACAGTGAGACATTTTGGAGTTAAAGAGGAAAAAGTCAAGTGAGTTATTGTACAGCGCATTAGAACATCAGCTAACCTGGTGTAAGTGGAAGCCTGAATGTTGGGTGCAGCCGTAGCACTCTGTACTTCCTGGATTTCCATATCTGCATCTGACTTTGTCTCCATCAGGATCAAAGGACATCAGCTTGTATGTCCGTGGGCAGTTTTCAGGAACTCTTCAATAAACACATTAACAAATTCTCTCTCAGTGTCTCACACAGTAACATGAATCATTCACTGGCATGATTGTCTTGTATTATCTTGTAAAACTGATCAAAAAGGTAGAAAGAAAAATATGTAGACAATAGAATGAAAACTAAAATTAATTTGTCTGCTAGTTGATAAAAAACAAGAACTTCTTGTTTTCCTTTTTCAGAGAAGCAGGTTTTGCCACATGATGACATTTTCAAATTCTGCTGTTCAGAGGCTCATAGTTTAAATGGAGATAAATTATCTGAATTTCAGGAGCTGGACCTCGCCTCCAAACACTGCCCTTCCAGTTCTAATGCATGTTTGTTTTTGTGCCCCACCCTACCTCTCCTTTTTTAATTCTTTCATTTCTTCACTTCTGCTTAGTACATGGGGATCTGCCAGGCCTGGGAGCCGCCACCAGTCCCCTTCGAGGCCTTCCCCAAACCGCAGCTCAGCTCATGTTTTTGCCTTTATCTACTAAAAATGCTGTCAAATCTGAAATGAGGACATGGGCCCAGTGAGAGAAATCAAACTTCAGGAAGCTTACCTGAGGAAAGGTAGGATGGCAACTTCTGGTGCTCTGTTTGGTTTTCCAGTGTCGGATCTTTCTCCCAAATCCACAAGAGTGTTCAAGTACCAAGAATGGCCCCAGTAATAGGTCCGTGTGGGGATCCAGCAGCAGCTCGCTGCCCTGGTTTGTTTAGAAATAACAAAGTCATCCACCCACCAAGCTCTTGTTTTATCATAATATCAGACAGATTTAATGACTGTGGTGACTTTAGATGAATAATAATTAATAAAAATTAATAACCAATAATTACACATAATAAAGCACATCAACAGTGTCTTCATACTTAAAATGAAAAATGCTCACCGCATTTCAAAAGGTCTGTTGCTCGGGACGACCCGCGTGGTGACGGTTTCAGTTTCACACCATTGTCTGTTATAGAGTGGAGCACTGGTGCTGCTGTCCAGTCTGCCTCTCTGACTTCTGGAGGTGTAGCCACAGTATCCACTGGAACAATACCAGTAGAGGGAGTAGTAACATCCATCATAGGTGTCCCTGTCCCGAATTTCCACCTTTAAAACATCATACAAGCAGCTCAGTCAGATTTTAGTTTATCACTCCATGTTATCTGCAAGAAGAAGGTTCTGTATCTGTGTTTGATCATGTGATCACAATTTTAACACAATCAATAACAAATGCAGGTCATGGAAGCCACGTCTGCAGCCATTGATTAGTCGAGGCACTCTGGATTTAGAGGTGAAGAAAGTGAAACACGATAATAATCATCTTCATCATCATCATAATTATTATTATTGTGTTTTTCATAATAATTG